GTTGTGTGCGTGTGGATTAGGATGTGTGGGTTGTGTGTGTGTGTGGATTAGGATATGTGGGTTGTGTGTGCGTCTGTGGGTGGGTGGATGTGTGTGTGTGGATTAGGTTGTGCATGCGTAGGTGGATGTGTGTGTGTGTGGATTGAGAGTATGTACAAGTGTTTGTATGTTTATGTGTGTGTTCTTTTTCTATTCCTGTTTGATTTTACACACCTGTTTGATTTATGCATATATACTATTAAATTTTACCTAATTTTACTACATGTTATCACTCTCTCCCGCTCTCACATATACATCCACATTCACATCCACACTCACAACTACACTTCAACTGAACAAGCTTTTATACTCTCAGACATTAATCCCGCACACCCACACCCACACTCACACCCACACTTACACTTACACTTACACTTACACTTACACTTACACTTACACTTACACTCAAACTCCCACACAAACAGAAGCTTTTGCACTTTACAAATATTTTCCACGTGTAATGGAACGCTGTATTATTTACTTCGTTATATGATTCCGAAATGAGTTCATTTTCATATTATATCAACGTAGACTAATTAATGACTAGTGTTTAATTAATGAATAAGTGTTTAGATAGCTCATTAACGGTTGTACTAATGATGAGGTACTAACATCATATTTTTCTTTCGTTTTATAGTGTACTGTCCCTTCCCTGGATATATCACTAACGGGCAGGTTATGTTAGTGGGCAATATGGGCATGTACATATACCGACCTTATGTTAAAAAGGTAAGTTTCTCAAAACCTTTAGCTTAAGTAAAGTCATTTATCTTGTGCAGCTAATATAAGCAAAAACCCTACTGTATTTACCGTTTTATTTATGTATGTAAATGTGAAGTGTTATCATGTAATGTGCATTTATAGAAATAATTCATTGTTGTTTATATTATACTATAGTTTATGCAACATTTACATAAACCATTTATACAACAGAAGTTGCACTGTCTACATTGCATCAGATTTCATCCATTCCTAATATGCTACAGTTCTTATTCTTTCTCTCAAATAGCTACCTTGCATATCTCTCTTCTCTATCTTCCTGTTTACTTATCTATCTATCCATCCATCTGCAAATCTATCCATCCATCTGCAAATCCATCCACCCACCCATCCATCCATTCATCTATCTATCTAGGAAGGTTTTTGCCATCCACCCACCCATCTATCTATCTATCTAATCTATCTATCCATCCATCTACATAATTATCCATCCACCCACCCATCTATCTATCTATCTAATCTATCTATCCATCCATCTACATAATTATCCATCCCCCCACCCATCTATCTATCTATCCATCTATCTACATATTTATCCACCCACCCATCCATTCATACATCTATTTACATATCTATCTATCCATCTATCTACATATTTATCCACCTGCCCATCCATTCATACATCTATTTACATATCTATCTATCCATCTATCTACATGTTTATCCATCCACCCATCCATCCATCCACCCGTCCATCTATCTATCTCTATCTATTTTTTCAATCCATCCATTTACATATTTATCCATCCACCCATCCATCTATCCACCCTCCCTCCCTCCCTCCACCCATCTATCCACCCAACCACCCATCCACCCATCTATCCACCCATCTATCCACCCACCCATCCATCCACCCGTCCATCTATCTATCTCTATCTATTTTTTCAATCCATCCATCTACATATTTATCCATCCACCCATCCATCCATCCGTCCATCTATCTGTCTCTATCTATTTTTTCAATCCATCCATCTACATATTTATCCATCCACCCATCCATCTATCCACCCATCCATCCTCCCATCCATCTATCCACCCATCCATCCATCGATCTATCTATGAAGTTCTGCCATCCATCCACCCACCTATCTGTCTATCTATCTATCTATCTATCTCTATCAACTATCTATCTATATATCCATCCATCCATCCATCCATCCATCCATCTACCTATCTATCTATCTACCTACCTATATCTATCTATCTATATCTATCTACTATTTTTATATATATCCATCCATCTACATATTTATCCACCCACCCATCCATCCATCCATCTACCTATCTATCTATCTACCTACCTATATCTATCTATCTATATCTATCTACTATTTTTATATATATCCATCCATCTACATATTTATCCACCCATCCATCTATCCATCCATCTCTCACAACTTTCCCCCATTACCCATCTACCTATCCATCCATCTATCCACCCATCCACCCATCCATCTATCTATCCACCCACCCATCCACCCATCCATCTATCACAACTTTCCCCCCGTCACCCATCCATCTATCCATCCATCCATCCATCTATCCACCCATCCATC